AATATAATACTTAGATTGGATTGTTTCATAGCTTTCAATATAAAGAAAAACTAAAATAGCCGAAGGCAAACCAGGGGATAAAACTAGTTTAGATCAAAGATGATATCTTGATTTTACGATGGTCACGTTATTACGGACGAGGTGCAAGATTACCGAAGCGTCGTAAATGGTCGCCTGCTGCATCATCACATGCCCATACTGGGGTTACAGACATATATGAGAAGAGAACGCCTTAAGCTTTAATGATAACATACTATGAAGTTTGCTTGTTAAATATTAGAAGAAGAATATTTAATCTACAGTTATAATTGACACATTATATGCAGGAGTATAAGACATAGATCACCTACCCTTAAAAAATTAATCCTCATATAGAAGTCAAACGTACTTCAACACGAAGTGTAATGCATAAAAATATTAAAGCCCCTGAATTTAACTAGCTAAACATATGCTGTGTGTTTAGTAATGGAGGAATATTGTTGTATATTTTTAAAATGTTCTCGCGCTCGTAATAAATGCGGCGGTCAACCGAAACATATAAAGTGTATCAAGTTTGACCGCGACGGTCATCACACAACGACCACGACCACCGGCGTCACAGGCTTACATGACGCTCTACTTTGTATTGAACTAAATACATATATTCACTTATTAATACCAGCTGAAAAATGAGAACTGAATTTCGGTCTCATTCAAATAAGCGATTGGTTGTTTGAGTTCAGTGAACATATTATTGATTAGTAGGTATCCGTAAAAGAAAGTAAAAGATATATAATTGATAAATTTAAATCTACAAAGACTATATCTGTTATAAGAGAAATGCCAATGATAATATAACATTCTTAATAATAGTAAATTAAATTTTCATAGGTTCTATGTAAGCCTTGATGGTTGCGGCAATATTATATCAAGGAGAAATGTCAACGTAGCGACGTGTTTGTATGAAAAATATTCCAATATCCCTGCCCCTGCCCCCCTAAGTGTCCCTCCCTCCCTCCTCCCTGACCCCGCTGCCGTCCCCCGCGGGCGGTGTACAGCGATCGTTCCAAGATGGCCGGGATACTTCAAATTATGCTAGTTCTGGACAACAAAAGTATATGTTAAGATATACTCACGGCTGTCTATTATATTTGTATGAAGTGAATTGTACTCATATTGTATAATGAGTGTATTCAGGAAACTAACTACTGTGAAATAAGAGAAGGGATTTAGTCTAAGCTAATTGCAATTTCTTGCAACTTTAACGGTCATTAGTTAATGTTTTTTGTGTTCAAAAGTGCAGTAACTAAGGGATAATTTCTTCCAGAACTCTCTCGGAGTAACAAGACATTATGTACATATCAAATCTTAACGATATAAACAACTTACTGTAAACATAATCCCTTCATCAGACGGACAAACAGATAGCATCTGAAATATGATAATGGCCGCCCACGGCGGAGGTGACGTCCGAGCGGAAGGGGGGGATTCCCCTCTTGTCTTAATTTCCGGTCGCCAGATTTTGCGATATGCCTATTTTTATCCTCAGCTTACCGTAAGATATGCTGGAAAGGGCATAAGTCCCTACTTCGTTTGAAAATTCAAGTAGTAAAATATTACAGGGTTCATATTTAATGCAACATTTTTACTATAAATATTATTCATATGATAATATTCTGAGGAAAAGCTATAAAACTATATGAAGGAAGAAAAACATGGTGTCCACTCAACCATACATCAAACCTGCGACCATTAGATTCTATGAAAAAGTAACTAAAAACTTTGCTTATTACCGCTCCATTGCCATTTCACCCCAAATGTCCGAACTTTTTCCGAATAAAACTGTAACTTTGCTATACATTGTAGCTTTAAGTACAGATACACTCAAATAAGTGACCAAAATCTTCAATGTATAACGTTTTCTGTATCAGTGAGTCGATGTTTGTATTGTATATGGGAAAACTTTTTTCAACTGATAGCGGTCAAATATTGAAGATATATTATTGTTTTGCAAGTGGGCTTCTACGAGTATGTACTGAACGTGGATATTTATTGTACGGCTGAGATGGAATGGACAGGTTATTAAGATGGATACCATTATAAAGTAGGATAGGGAATTTTATATATAATGTTTGGAACATAAACATTGCATAGGCTAAATCTAATGTATGTAAATGATTTAAGGAAAATTCATAATTAAGACTAATTTTTGTCGCGACTTCGTCAGTGTAAACTCCAAAATAGTACTGTGTAGATGACCTAGTGAACTCTGTTGCTACTTAGAGGTAGTTAATAAAAAGAATTTGGATTTTATAAAGTTCAATTTCTTTTTCTTTTTCGATCCGTCCTTTCTCTAACCTGCACACTTATTTTCATCTAAAATAGTTCAGCCGTGTTAAGGTAATAAATGATTTAACTAACATTTATATATAGATAAGAGAATTAAAGTTAATTTTAACCTGGAAGCAATTATATAATAATAAAGATAACAATTCCCATCTACCCGCATTTCATTTTGTTTCACGACCGTTTGACTTCTGTCCACGTGTGAGTTAAGATCCATTTGATATCATAAAATACCTCTCTTCTCTAAATTGATAGAACCACACAGTAATTACAGTCGTGCCACTGCATTTTATTATCTCCATAGGAATATATGCCTTATTTCTTGAGCAGTAAACTCTGATAACGTATAACGCTATTTTGTGGTTATGATAGTTTGGAACTAAAGTATAATTGCGTCGCGGCAACCGGACACCGGGATATGAAAGCGACAATAAAAGGTGGACTCTCTTGATGATTGGTACAGTCCTGACAACAAGTTCTACATAAACTGTAAATATTACATAGAACCTACTATATATGTATAATATGGTACTGACCTAGGCTGAGACATTTTTTTAAGATTGTACTATAGCTTTATATATATATTTATGTAGGTGTATTAATAATATATAATTGTTTTCTCTTCTCTATTGTTATATTTACATTAAATTGATTAAAATACATCACTTTTAGTACAATATATTACTACAACTGTATAATAAGTCGTACCTCTAATGAATTCCACACTAGTTCCCACCCACAGTGGTAACAGTCCTCTGGTTAGTACTGACATCCGTTTAAAGTATTACCCAGAGAAAATATCATTCACATGCTTATTACGATTGATTAATCCCACAGACAGGTACTGACTTGGGAGCACATAGGGACTATAATTCCATGTCAAACTATCTCCCAGTCAGTCATCGCCCCTCGAAGTTCAAGGCGGGTCGCGAGGTAAACGCACCTTTATTGGCTCCACAATTGGTCATATCCGCTGACAGGTCTATGCCCTCACTCACACACGTGTATATAGGTTATCATGTGCAATGCACTATTGAGAAGAATTGGATATGAGGAATATAAAACATATGCTTATTATTATGACTAATTATTTCACGTGACTTGAATTGATTTCATATTAAATATCTAGGTTGGAACAAGCTGTAGGTAATTAATATACATATTTTATAACAGCTCACGTTAAAAGCAACTTTATTATATCCAATATAGCATACAAGGAAATATAATTGGAACCGAAATGCCAATGAGATATTTGTAATTTTCTGAGCCATCTCAGTATGCTGCATAGTTAAAACTCTACATATTTTATAATGGTCGTGTTGTAAGTTCGTCTGTCATCGTTCCCGCCCGTCTCCGTAACTGACATAACATGATACAACACCAACAAACCATTACCTCAGTCGATTGCCCGCAATTGTCGACAATCATTGTCAATTTACTACACCGCCCCCCCCCCTCCTCCCCTAACTGCACCCCCTCGCCGCATACAATGAAGCTTTCTCTTCTCACCGGTACATTCGCCAGGAAAAGCATTTAAAAGTAACATATACATGATGTAGGTACATACATATATATGTATTTGCCGGTATTGTATCGTGATTGCAAATAAAACTGGTATTTCTTATTTCTGCGTCCAACACGTGTGTGCGATAAAAAATATGTTGTACAAACAAACATACGCCGCGTCCCGACTTTGTTTATTATCAGTGTCGAATTATTCCCGTAATATAATTGTAGGTGAACGGTTTTATATCGCTCGCTTTATAGATTCCGTACATTTTTCTGATATAAGAATCTCGTATTAATGGGATCAGATTATCGAAAACTATTAATTTCTTTCACAATTTCAACAAAAATAAATATTGAAATACTTTTGTGGGCATAATAGATTAAATATTTTTAATATTGTTATCTTATTTGTTACGAAGTTTTTATATTTTACTTACATATTCACCTCTTAATATCGGCCGACCAACCAATTTTCGAGGGATCTCTAAAGGATGTGAAGCCACCTTGTCTATAAATCAAGATATTTGTTACATGAAAATATTTACATTTGTATGAAAATATAATATATTTGTTTATTTTTTGTTATGAAGATAATTAAAGCATCGTAAATTATACATATCTTCCTCGCAGCATACTTCTATGATCACTAAGACGATGTTTAAATATGAAACTAATTGCTGAATTGAATGTTAGTTTAAGAGGAATATACCTTTATTTTTATATTATTATGTAAAATAATTTGTATAATTATAGAAAGGATTTAATTTCATTGATTGTATGTGCTATTCTACTTTGTGCTCTATCCCACTAATTTTAACCTTTATTTTCGTTTAAATCATTCTCGCCCAGTGTTTAGGGATAAATCGCCGTATTAAAGCCTGCTATTGTCCGAGGAAGGTATGTTTCATTCTCGCTGTAGCACCTTTCATCCGACGCTCGACAAAGATTAAATATACAAACATACTATTCAAATAAACTATTATCAATTCTTATATAAAAAAAACGTAAGTAAGTCTTTCGATTTGCAACTAGCTGTTCTATTATTCTTAAAGATTATATAGAGATTCAATAATTTAAATATCTATGTAACAATATTTTGTGATATAGACCGTATTATGTATATGTACGTATATAGTCTTACCTATATGTACAGTTGTGTGTATAGTTCATATGTGAGTATAATCAATGATAATGTTCCTCTCTAGTCCGTTCTGTTTCTCTACTCTGTGTGTACATTTCCCAACAAAGGCTCCGTTTGTTTCGTCCACTGTTCCGTATTGTCCAAGCCTCCTCTCCTCCTCTCCTCCCCAGCCTCCCCTATTGTTATTCTGACAATCTCCGTCACACTCCGCCGCGATGCTTCCCTGATTCAGGATGATTTTCATTGAGCTCGGCTTTCGTTGTTATTGTTGTCTGACTTTTATTTTGATTCCTCAGAGGTCAGATCGGGGAGATTCTAAATAACTCACACTTACATACACATTATATGTATTATTATTTACACTTCATAGTTATAATGATGTACTATTTGATATCAGTGATAGGTATTGTATTATTATGCAATCGTAATCTTAAAGTTTTTCATATTGTTAAAATAAATGCTAAGAATTACGTTAAAATTTATACGATGATATGTTCATATTATAAAGATGAGATATTTTCATTTATGCAATAAATCCTTCCTTTGTAAGTATTTTTATTAAATTAGTTTTAAGGGACTTAGAAGAAGAGGCATATTTTTAAAGAACAATAAAATCTGCATGCCTATTACATGTCGTTTTTTATGACAATTGTCATCATAGCAATTATATTTTTTACAAATACTGAATAGTTTTAACATGTATATGAATAGTTCTTTTTGTAATATCTCATACTAATGTTATAAATGATAGTTCTCGGATCCAGAAATACGTGTCCACATCACGTGCAGCGAGTGCTCTCATCTTCCTGCATTACTTCTCTGAATATATTAAACTATCACCTGTCGCTCTAAACAAGGCTTAACATTGACAGATAGTGCTTCAAGCAGGTCTCTAAGGGTGATCACACACGATACATTGAAAAAAAAACTATAATATCAAAGTAAATCCTCGTCTGTAGGAAACTTTTTGTTTTGATAGATTTACGATTTTTATTTTTGTTCTCAACCTAAATTACTTATACAACATAGTAGTGAGTATAATATTGTATACTAATAATCCCTATAAATTCTTCATTTAGTATGTTACGATATTATTTCAATAGACTTGTGTGTTATTACCTTTTCTTATTTTCAGACTAGTCATCGTAAAGCTCTTCACCTGGCAAAGATGTGGTCTTTATAGACGAAATTTATTGCGTCACATAAACAGCATGGGCATTTAATACTTTATACAAAGTATTAGCGACTCTAAGATTCACTTGATTTAGATAAATGACGAATGAAAATGTTCAGAGATAGAACTAATTTGCTTTTGTTTATGATCCTTGAAAATTACAAAATTCAAATAAAAATCTCAATAGTTTTGGAACTTTTCAATTCGCATAAGCTAAAGCAAGATAATGTGAATTACAAAATCAGTACTCATATAAAATTAATTGATAAACAAATAGTGTAAATTTAGTTTTATTAATGCACAATACACCATGTATAACATTTTACTACACCGCAGACACAAATTCAATTCCGTAATCAATTTTTCATTCCATCTCTCAACGAGCTGGAGGGATTAGGTGTTACTCCATTACATTACACCTCATCCATCGCAACAAAGTCGTCAAAATAAACAATCGCTCCCAACCAAAAGACAGACGGGTCTTTGATCTCACCCTGAGTGATCGCGCTGCTTCACAGATAACTTGACTACATTATATCATACATGGATAAAAGCAAGGCAAGTTTACGAGCTCGTAAATTAACTGGGAGTTTTGGATGTTAGAGAAGTGGTCGTGATATAGGACAGGTGAGCTTATGGGTTACCATTGATGTTCGACCTTACTCATCTCCAGCTATCTGGGAGAACAAAACAAAACCTACTGACATTCACATCTCGTCTGCCCGTGATCACGGTTGCTGTAAAGTAACCGAAACGTCGATAGTATGTAGTTTATAATCAAAAATAAAAATATCACGTAGTAAATCCGAAAATATTACTTTCATTTCAAACAAACCTTGTTAAAAAGATTACACTATATCATACAAAAATTTTTATAATATCACAGTCACAGTGGTTCATTACTAACACTCAAAGTATTTCCATGAGATATAATAAAGTGATTCTCAAAACACATTTAATTTATATCTCCATACTTGTACATTTAAATTTAATGAGTCGTAGAGCCCGTTTCTCCACGCATCAACATTAATATTACTTTTTGGCTGCGTTACTTGTAGAATCGCGTCCCGTCTAATGATACGCAGGTGACGCGTGGAGTTTATGTTATATCATATTTTTTCTACCTTTATTTTAAACAAAACAACTTCTCTTATAATCTAGTTTTATTATTCAAATGCTTATTTTTTTCGAGTTTCAATCGTAATGGTATAATGAATTGCGTTATAAAAGTATTCCTTTAAAATATATAAACATTGATTAACGACTTTATCCAGGAGAACAAACTCCGCTAACTTTTCATGTTGCCTCATATCGTCCAAGGTTGGTAGTAGTGATGTATGCTGCTATTTGTTACTTCAGAGTTGTTTATTTCAAGATATTATTAATAATCTGTTTCGTGACGTCATCTCTGAGCCAGGTAAAGTAAGAACTCATTAATATTTGCCATTTCAATGACGCGTTTTGTATTGACAGAGCATGAAATCTTTTATAACACAGGAGGAAGAGCATGTAATTTTATTATAATTAGTGTATAATATGTGTGACAACAAACATACCCATAAATATTACCTTCACTTAAAGGCAAGCCGTGGTTAACATATTGTTTTGATGAGCAAATAATTAGCTTGAATTTCAAAGAAATATCACCAACTAATGCATCATGTCAGTTAAATAATTTAACTAAATCGGACTAAGAGTCGTCATAAATCTTTGGTTACTATAGAAGCTATCTACTCGGGAATTATTTAAATTTTCATACTCAATTTGGCATAAAATTATCGACCTTCATCGTATTAAGAGTTCGTAAAATTTAAAAAAAACGTTCCTATTAACCCCATTTAGAGTTGATAATTATTTTGTTTTGTTTTTTACGTATGTTTGGACAATTTTATATGTATTTTAACTGTGTAATTATATTAAAAAAACGAGATGTTGTCCGTTAATTTGTCAAATGTCAACCTGTTGTTTAATTGCACGTCGCACCTTGATTAAACGTCCTTTCTATTAATATCTGTACCGGGAATCAAGTTATTCTCTTTTATGAATACGTTTAACATCTAAAATAGTTTTACGTTCCCCACACTCGGTCATGCACCTGAACGTTTCATATTAATATTATAATTATATTCAGTTTTAAGTTCAAAATACATACATAAGATATTATTTTAAACAAATAATTTTAAATTCCTCATTCCTGGCAACAATTGTACGATGTAACGACTGTAGTACATGTAGCAAATGAAAAATTTGATATATGAAGGCGGCAGGCGCTCGGCTGTAAATCACATTGGGCGGTCACTGTGTCACACGACGCGGGAAAACACTTTTATTATATTGTTAACACTGAAAAGTGAATATTAATACCGATGTAATGATTACTTTTAATATGAATATACATAGAGAAAACAATATTACGAATAAAAACAGTTTTTAATTCTTATTGTTATTAAAATTAAGTCAATAGTGGCCTAGTCGTTATAAGGCCCGCCTCTCATGCATGAGGGCGCGGGTTCGATCCTGGCAAGTACCAATGTGACTTTTCCCTGTCAAATGTACTTTCTAAGAGTTTTTAGACATCGTATGCATTCCCAAAGAGGTTTGATGTTAGACAGGCGGCTGGTTGTAAAAACAATTAGCAAAAACTATTCACAATATGTAAGGCAGACGCTGGCTAAATCTGGGAAATTGCCAGGTAGAAGAAGAAGATTGTTATTAAAATATACATAATTTGTACTCGTTGTAGGTTGTTTAAAGTGCTATGTATGAATAAAAACATCGTCTTAACGTGAGGAATCAGATGCATTCACTTGTTTAGTGACTTTTTATCTTATATCTGAATACTATATTATATTATAAATAGTTGTTATAACATTATAATCCCATACAATCTCTATATAACCAACTCCGTGCTCAATGGCTCACTTTCATTTCCTACTTCATAATTTCCACTCTAAGTGCTAATTTGCTTGAAACGGATTTGTTCTACATCTTTAAATCCAATATTATATTGATACTGCTATTCTAATATGAACTTTTAGTGTATAGAAATAGATTTTATTATTGAATGATATTAAGACTAATTTATGATAATGTTATATTACCTGTAATCCAATTAATATGAGGTTAACCCAAATTTATTATAAGATGTTGTAAGTCGATAAAATGTGAATCTTTTACTAACATATGAAACAAACGGCTCTGAAAATACATGAGACGTTTTAGAGATCTTAATCTGTAGAAAATTTGTGTTTGTATTTTTATATTTCCTAATAAATTCAATTATAAGTATTACCTACTTGATACATTTAAAATTAAATCTTACTTAAGGACTAGAGCTTATTGCATACGAAACTTCTGGAATTATTAGTTAAAGGATTCCTTATTGATTATTCAATAGATACATTTGTATAAATTGTATATTTTAAGGTCGTCTTTTAAAATAATGTACTCTAATAGTTAATGAAGAAAAGTCACATCTTTATTTAAAGTAATTTAGCACCACGATCTCCTCAAATGGTATTGAAATGTATATAAAAAACAGCGTATAATTTACCTAAGGAGACATTCCTAATATTCATGGATGTCAGTGATCATACGACACGTGCTTCATAACAATTAATTCTTGGCAGGAGAGTGACGCGGAGATGACGCCAGACTAGGCGGTTCATAACACATGCTCACTACTCATAAAACAATTATATTATTTAAACTTACTTCACAAGTGTCTGTACGAGTGTGTGTGTGTGTGTATGTGTGTGTAATAAAATAATACCAAGACACTGTAAAATCAATACAGATTTTATACATTCACCAAAGTTCAGTTCAAGTATACATAATTATCTACATTATACAACAAAAAATCCAGTTAAGTAAGTCAAAATACATAGTTTAAGGAGTACTGTATGTAAAAACAAGTAACAAATTGAGAAGTTACTACTGGAAAAACAATATTTTATTGATCACTTGGATACGTAAGTCTCGAATTAATTTGCTACACTTACCTTAACATACAAATAAGTCTTGAATAGGTAATGATGTATAACATGTAAAATAAGCTCTGTTCTCATTAA